GGGAAGGTAGGACTCTTGAACAAAATGAACTGAGAGCTTGGGATTCTAAGTTAAAAAGACCCATTCATACCATACAAAAAAACAAAAACAAACCTATCTTAACCAACTAACCAAACAGAAGACCCTCCAATATGATTCACTTCTGCTTAGATATCCAGAAAAATCAAGTTCAACATATACCTAGAGGTAACTTTACACACTATTCAAAATAACCAAGTGATGGAATCAATCTATATAATTGACTGATGACTGGATAAGGAAAATGGTATATATGCAGATATATATGCACATGAAGGTAGGGGTGTGTGTGTGTGTGTGTGTGTGCTTGCGCGTGCGTGCGGGACTTGGACTTGGAACCTCATGCATAATCTTAGCTTTTCCACTCTGTCATGCCTCCACTTCTGGCATTATGCTGGCTAGCTAGAGAAGAATCTCTTGGATTTGTGTGATGGTGTTGTCTTTGAATTTCAGTCTTCAAATCTCAACCTCCTAGGTAGCTAAGATTACAGGTCTGAGCCACCCATATTTGGCTCCATAAGGAATTCATTCAGTTATAAAGAAGAAAAATAAGTTGTTGTTTTTTTTTAAACAAAGTAAACTGGAACCGGAGATCAGTCTGTTAATTGAAACAAGCTAGACTCAGACCAGTATAACATGTTTTCTCTTATATGTGGAATTTAGAGGCAAAGACATGCGATTAGAAGGGAGAACTGTTAGAGATATAGAAGAGAAAAAGAGGGAGTGGGGAATGGGAATGAGAAAGAGGGAAAGAAGGAATGAAGCCAGGTACTGGATGGCTTATGCCTATAATCCTAGCTAATCAGGAGGCTGAGAGCTACAGATCAGGGTTCAAAGCCAGGTTGGGCAGGAAAGTTTGTAAGACTCTTATCTCCCCTGAACTACCAAAAAGCTAGAAGTAGAGCGCTCAAGGGCTAGAGCACTGGCCTCGAGTCCCAACCAAACAACAACAAAAAGGATCACTATGGGTTAGGAATGTGGCTTAGTGGTAGAGTGCTTGCTTAGCATGCATGAAGCCCTGGGTTTGATTCCTCATTACCACATCAACAGAAAAAGTGGGAAGTGGTACTGTGTTTCAAGTGTTAGACAAAAGAAGCTCAGGCCCAGGCCCTGAGTTCAAGCCCCAGGACTATAGAAACTGCAGTTTCTATAGACTTTTTAAAATGCCAATGTTGGGCTGGGAAGGTGGCTCAGTGGCAGAGTGCTTGCCTTGCATGCATGAGGCCCTGGGTTCGATTCCTCAGCTACCACATAAGCAAAAAGAAAAAAGCCGGAAGTGGTGCTGTGGCTCAAGTGGTAGAGTGCTAGCCTTGAGCTGAAGAGCTGAGGGACAGCGCCCAGGCCCAGAGTTCAGGCCCCACGACTGGACCCAAAAAATAAAAAATAAATAAAATGTCAATGTTCTAAAGTGGGAACCTCTTAGAGAGGAGACAGTGTATAGGCCTGCCCTCTCAACTGATTTTCCATTCAGCCCTTCTTTTGAGGAACCCTATTGTCCTTCTGAGAACACACATTGAGAAATCATAAGCTAAGGGGAAGACTAATTCTTCAGCCATGAATGGCCTTGCTCAACATGCTCTTACACTCTAATTTCTCCCACTTCCTAAAATGAGTTTCCTTCCTTGCTTCTTCCATCAGGAGTCAGCATTAATTCCTCTTCCTAATTATTGCAGGCCCTCTGAGCATGGCACATAAACCAGAACTCTACTGAGTGACTCCTGAACTGTCTAGTTATTGAATCTCTGTTTTGTAGGCCCATTTAAGTCTCCATAGTCTGAGGAGAACTGGGATTGTCTGATTAGCTGTAGACACCCATAGGCATTCCAAAAACACCTGGCTGCTTTAGCAACATTGCATTTCTGCCCCAGTTTGAATGCTTATACCAGCACAGAGGATCTTAGATCTTCCATCACTTCATGTAGGCAGAAAAAGCACACTATATTAATTTCCTATGGGTGCCATAACAAAGGGTCGCCAACTTGGTGATAAAAATGAACACAAGCCTGGTGCAGGTGGCTCATGCCTGTGATCCTATCTATTCAGAAGGCTGAGATCTGAAGCACTTAGTTCAAAGCCAGCCAAAGCAGAAAGGATGATGACTCTTATCTCCAATTAACCTCTGGAAAACTGGAAGTGGCACTGTTTATTTATTTTCTTATTTTTGATTTTTGCTTTGAGCAAAAAAGCTCAGGGGCAGCACTTAGGCTCTGAGTTCAAACCACAGGACTGATAAAAATAAGAAAATAGGGCTGGGAAGGTGGCTCAGTGGTAGAGCGCTTGCCTTGCATGCATGAGGCCCTGGGTTCAATTTCTCAGCACCACATAAGCAAAAAGAAAAAAGCTGGGGCTGGGATGGTGGCTCAGTGGTAAAGCGCTTGCCTTGCATGACTGAGGCCCTGGGTTCGATTCCTCAGCACCACATAAGCAAAAAGAAAAAAGCTGGAAGTGGCACAGTGGCTCAAGTGGTAGAGTGCTAAACCTTGAGCTGAAGAGCTGAGGGACAGTGCCCAGGCCCAGAGTTCAGGCCCCATGACCGGACCAAAAATTAAAAATAAAAAAAAAAATAAGAAAATAAACCAATAGAATAATTTAATTTTTATTTTTTGCTGGTCCTGGGGCTTGAACTCTGTGTCTGGGTATTGTCCCTGAGCTTTTATGCTCAAGCCTAGTGCTCTACTATTTGAGCCACAACTCAACTTCCAGCTTTTTGTTACTAATGGAATTAAGTTTCTTTTTTTTTTTTGATCCTGTCGTGGGGCCTGAACTCTGGGTCTGGGCTCTGTCCCTCAGCTCTTCAGCTCAAGGCTAGTGCTCTACCACTTGAGCCACAGCACCACTTCCGGCTTTTTTCTTTTTGCTTATGTGGTGCTGAGGAATCAAACCCAGGGCCTCAGGCATGCAAGGCAAGCACTCTACTACTGAGCCACCTTCCCAGCCCCGGAATTAAGTTTCTTAATTTCTTAAGTTTCTTAAGTTTCCTTCTCAGTCTGGCTTTGAACGGAGATCCTCAGATCTCAGCCTCCTGAGTAGCTAGGATTACATGTGTGACAAATGTATTATTTATACCTCTATAGATTAAAAACCTGATATGGGTTCACTGCTAAAATCAGGGCAATGTCTTGGGATATTGGGGTGTAAGGGCACCAACTTGAAAGGAACTCAGCAAAGCTGGATTTTACTTCCGCAGAAGGTTATACTATTGACTGGGAGCCAACTAAGCAAATGCCCTTGGAGGAGTAGCTTGAGTAGGTTTTATCTCTAACTTGTGATTGCCCCTTGTTGGAATATGTTCACAATCTTGTGAAACTGGCTAGTCTGAAAGGGTTTTAAACTTTTTTCTGATTAAACAACCGAAACCAAGATTCCTAACCAATGCAGGAACTTGTTTGGGATAAAGAGATATGGCTTAAGTAAAACAACTTCTGATAAGATGGCAGCCACCCTTAAAATGGCAATCAACCCCTTTGACAAATATTCTCACTCCTACAGCTCCTTCAAAAGGTCTTTTGGAATACTCCATTAGGGTGCCTGCCCCAGCTTCCAGAAGCCTCTGCTCCTGCCCCTCCTTGTCTGTCTGTAAGGAGGCTTGAATGGCTGGTTGAGATTTTCTCCCATCTCATCCCACTGACCCTTTCTGTCCCACATTTACAGGTGGGTTCCTCCGCCGCCCCCCCCTCCCCCCATAGAGGGGTTTGAACTCAGGGGTTCACTTTTTGAGCTGTATCTTCAGCACCCCTTCTCCTGTTTTAAAGGACCCTTACAAAAATACTGGGCTCACACTTATAACATAATCAAGGATAATGTCTTCATTTAAGGTCAGATGATTAGCAACCTTAATTTGATGTGGAAGCTTAATTTCCCTTTGCCATGGAATCTAATATTTGTTTTCCAGGAAGTGGAAAGTGGACAAAATTGTGGTGATGGTGGTGGCGGTGGCTTGATGGGGCCATAATTCTGCCTGCTAGACAGTCTTGCCCAAAAGTCTAAATTGAGAGTTAGCACATAGTTAGCATATGACATTAAGTGGAGAAAAGCTTTTGGGGATTAGAGATTCCCTTCAAGTACAAGGAGGCCCCAGGAGCAGAATGATCTTTAGCAAATCATTTGAATGATTAGCTCAAATCAGTCAAAAATCAAGTCTTATCAGTGTCAATTCTGAAAATTGTCAGCATCTGTATGTTAAATAATTATGTAAATAGCCTGGTTTAGAGGCTAACAAACAGAACTCAAGAAGTTCTTGAATCTTGATGAGAAGGGTGGGCGAAGTTCTGTGCTGACATCTGGAAATAGTAGGGGAGATTTCCCAGGAAGAGTCTGTGACTGAAGCAAAAAAAGCAAGAAATGCGTTGAAACTTCTGCTTAAACTTTAAAGAAAAAGCACGTGTGGAGTATAACGACTAGATCCCCAGGTGGAAGACGGTTCTAGAATTGAAGAGCGTACTCACGGGGGAAATTTGGGAAGTCTTCAACGGTTGTATTTACTCAAAGCCAGAAATGACACCGTTTTTTAAAGTAAATATTATATCTGAATTAAGGTGGGGCAGAAAGAGAGAGGAAAAGGAGTAGGTTCCACCGAGATTTGAACTCGGATCGCTGGATTCAGAGTCCAGAGTGCTAACCATTACACCATGGAACCACCACGCGTGAGGAGGCCGCCTTCCACTCTCTAATCCTTAAAGAACCCGTCCCCACCCCACTCCCCAAGCCCTCTCCGCAAACCCCACTACTAAGAAGCGAGGGGAATCTTCCGGCGCTCTGTTTCTGGGCCTGGTCGTGTGCAAGGAAGAGTCAGGGTCCCCTACCACGGAGATGAACTGAGAATGTAAACCACAAGTTCACCCACCGAGTTTCCCTTCTGGTGGAGGGAGTGACACCCGGCGCCGGCGCACGCAGCCTTTTTTACGCTCCGGGGGGGCGGGGCATCGCGTCTCCGGAAGTACCTCCCGGTGAGGGGCTGGGGCTTTCCGGAAGTGACGCCGAGGCAGGGCGGGGCTCTCCTCCGGGTCCGGCAGCTGAAGCTAGGCGCTCGGCTTCTCCCTGCAGCGACGCCCCCTGGTCCCCCCGGTCCCGCCGCTGCTCCCGCCCCTTCGCTCCTCGGCCGCGCCATGGGCACCCGCGACGACGAGTACGACTACCTCTTCAAAGGTGAGGCCGCGGGCTGGCGTACGGGCCGCGGAACCCCCGTTCTTCGGGGCGTGGGGTGCGGGGTGTGGGGCGGCCCGGGACTCGCCCGGGGGATCCCGGGTGCCGGGCCGCCGCGGCACTGAGGTGTGGACCTGCCTCGGCGATCGGCCCTTCGCTTTGGGGGGGGGGTGTCCCCCGTCACGGAGTTCGTCTCCGCCCTACGCGGCGGGGAGGAGGAGGGGGGGGTCCCACCTCACGCTTGTCTCTTAGCCGCACCCCACCAACCTCCCCCCCCCCCCACACCCCCAAGGCCTTTGTAGCCGCCGGCTCTAAAATCGTGTCTTCCCTTTCCCCGGGCTTTTTTTGGGGGGGTTCTCCTGCTCCTCCCGCCGACGGTGTCCTGAGGCCCCGGCGCCCCTCCTCTGCTCACATCCTCGCCCTGAACCCTCCCGAAGGCCCCAGGCCCCCCCCCTCTCGGCCTTCACTCGTGTCCCGGGCAGGTGGACGCCCCCTCCCACTCCCCCCCCCCTCTATGGCCTTACTCCCGTCCCGTCCCGTCCCGGGGGCCGGGGCTCTACCCCCCTCCCCCCCTCCCCCACCGCTCTCGAGGTCAATGACCTCGCACTGTCCCTCCCTCCTTCCCTCCCTCCCCGCCGATCGGCAACTCTTGGCTTATCCTTTTCCCTCCTCAAATGGTGTTCGGGAGCTCCCAGTGCTGGTGGGAGGGAGGGAAGGAAGGAGGGCGGGAGGGAAGGAGGGAGGGCAAGGGAGGGCTGTCCATCACCCACGCGCGCGCACTTGTCGCAGTGACCCCGACAGGCCGATGACTTCCCCCACCTAGCCTCTCCCCCAGCCGTCTTACATCAACCCCGGGATAACTCTGTATTTATTCGGCTTGGGAGAAGAGGTTGCGGATGGGTGGTGGCTGTTATCCTTGCCAGACCTGAAGGCCCAGTTCCTGAACAGGAAAGGTTGCGCGCTGCACAAATACTAGCTTGCTTATCACTACGGACTGGTTGCTTCCTGCTGCAACATTGGGAGGATCCAACAGGAAGGGAAGAGCTCTGGTTGGCCACAAACCTTTCCCAGACGGTGGAAAGGGGGAGGGGATTGTGTGCTCCTCGGGTCAAATTAAACATTTACTATAAGGTAGGGAAACGTAGTGCCCTTGAACAAAAACATCTTGGAGGATGGGGAGTGGATGGAAAGAATTGCTTTTTTGACTGAGTTTGGAAGAATCCAAGTCCTCCCCCTCCCCCCCCCTTTTTAACCAACAAAGAGACAGGATACAGCTTTCAGTAAGAAGAGAGTACAGTAAACGCTTTTTTCTTTTCTTTTGGTTGGGTGAATGTCCTCTCACTTAGGCAGTCTTTCTCTGCTACTGAATGAGAAGGACAGCCACCAGTAGTGTGCCTGAACAAAGATCATTACCAGGAAGGAAGAAGCCATTGCGATTAAAGCCCTACTGTAGAGGGTGGAGTTTAAAGACTTGAGGATGTTTCTGACTGCCATTGGGTGATTCATTAAACAAGGCAGGAAGCATTGCTTTCCTTTACCAATACTTTGAAAGTGTTGTTATACTAACTGATGTATATACTCCATTGACACTCCTCTAAGATGAGTACTTGAGGGTCAGTATCTAACCCCAACCCCATATTAGAAAGTGATTCACAGCTAAGAAAGTACCTAATTAATTTTACAAGTACAAAAAGGAGATCTGGTTATTTTCATACTGTTTACTGAAGTGATGTGAAATTATTCTTGGGAAACTTTGGAGTTTAGATTTTTTTTTGATACTGTGTAATGGCAGTGGACAGCATCTACCTACCTCTCTACCTCCTAGCTACCTCTCTACCTAACATAGTGCCTTAGCATGCAAGGCAAGTGCCCTACTACTGAGCTACACTCCCCACACTGCCTCTGGCCTCTGCCTTGCAAAGTACAGGGTATGCTCCACCAAGGCAGGTGTTTGAACAAGATAGACTGTTAGGTATTTCTCCTGTTGAAAACTCAAATGCAAATCACTTTTTTTTTTTCTTTCCTAAGGGTGTGTTACATTCATCTTGGGCCGGCTTAAGGAATTTAAATTTAATTTTGGGCTTTAGCCCATCCTAACAGCCTTGCAGTTACATAGACCTGGGTTCAAATCCTGACTCATGTTAATTTTTTTTTTTTGGTCCATCATGGACCTGAACTCTGGGCCTGGGCACTGTCCTCAGCTCTTCAGCTCAAAGCTAGTGCTCTACCACTTGAGCCATAGCACCACTTCCAGCTTTTTCTGTTTATGTGGTGTTGAGGAATCAAACCCAGGGCCTCATGCATGCAAGGCAAGCACTCGACCACTGAGCCACCTTTCCAGCCCTAAATATTTGTTTCTTGACCTTGAGACTTTTTTTTTTTTGGAGTTTTAATTCCTTCAGACAAGGAAGTACTGTGAGCTGCTTTGCAGGACTGTTGGCAGGAGTGAGATGACTCAATATATGGTAATAATGTAAAAGAAGTTCAAGTAGTTCTTATTAGGCATTTTTAGCTTTAAATCTTTATAAGTTACAAGAGCAGTTAAGTAAAGCAACTTAAATCTAGAGAACTTCTGAAGTCTGTTTACACATGGATTATGATTTTATTTTGTTACACATTTTGCTATTTAAAATATGGTGTATAAGAAATTTCCACTTTTTTTTTTTTTTTTAAGGCTCCAGGATATGAGTCACTTTATTTTACTTTTTGTGCCAGCCCTGGGGCTTGAACTCAGAGCCAGGGCACTGCCCCTGAGCTTTTCTGTTCAAGGCTAGAGTTCTACCACTTCAATCTGCAACTCTATTTCGAGCTGTTTGGTAGTCGGTGGAAGATAAGAGTCTCATAGACTTGCCTACCTGGGCTGGCTTTGAAGCCCAGTCCTCAGATCTCAGCCTTCTCAGTAGCTAAGATTACAGGTGTGAGCCACCACCACCCAGCCAAGTCACTTTATTTTTAAGCTTTAGTGCAGATTACTTACTTGATTCCTTATTTATATAGTGTTTTTAGGGTTATTCAGTTATTTTAAAATGAAGCAACAACATTTTTATTTTAAAATCTCTTTCTACAGATTTACTCACCTGAAGGATTTTTTTTTTTATTAACATGAGATAGGGTGGTATAAATTGGGTAAATGTTGGGAGAACAGGACTATTCTAAATTATGTAATTTGTTCTTGAATAAATCTTGGGTGTGTGTGTGTGTGAGTGCATGCTCATGCATACTTATTCTGGGGCTTGAACTCAGGGCATAGGCTCTGGGTTTCAACATTTTTTGCACTCTACTGTTTGAGTCATAGTTATACTTCTGGCTGTTTTGGTGGTTCATTAGAGATAAGAGTCTCACAGACTTTCCTACTGGGGCTGGCTTCAAACTATGATCTTCAGATCTGAGCCTCCCGAGTAGCTAAGATTATAAACATGAGCCACTGGTGCCCAGTGAGCAAATCTTTTTTCGGTTTGTGTGTGTGTGTGTGTGTGTGTGTGTGTGTGTTTGTGTTTTGAGACAGAGTCTCATGTAGCCCATCACAATTCTACTTCCGTCTCCCAGTGCCTCTGGATTATAGGCATGTATCACAATACTAGCTTGCACATTTAATCTTTTAACTTTTGATGGGTTATGGAGGCTTATTACTATTGTTATTTTGTCGGTCATAGGGCTTAAACTCTGGGCCTGAGTGCCGTCCCTGAGCTCTTCTGTTCAAGGCTAGCACTCTACTACTTGGGCCACAGCTCCACTTCTGGTTTTCTGGTGGTTAATTGGAGATAAGAATTTCCACGGCTTTTCTTGCCTGGCTGGCTTTGAACTGTAATCCTCAGATTTCAGCCTCCTGAGTAGCTAGGATTACAGAGGTGAGCCATCGGCACACAACTTTACTTATTTCTTTTTGAAATAGATGACAACTTTTAATTTTGTATTTATGCACAGTGTGTTGTGTGGAGCACAGGTAAAGTAAGCAATTATCGTAGCTCTTGCTGTGGTGGATACCAGTCTAGTCTGAGCCTTGTTTTCTGAGTGTCTAGATGCATTGCCCATTGCTTAGGGCATTTTCTTTTGAGTTGCATTGAAGGTCAGTAGTAATCAACCATCAGCTGATTGCCAGTAGAAACATCCCTATCTTGAGTTTTGTCAGTTTTTCTTTTACAACTTGGGGTTGAGCAACTCGAATTTTGCTGAATCTGGAAAACTTGTCCAGACTTTAGCCTTATTGAATACATTTTGTTTTAAAGACTTGGTGCAGTTTGACTATAATATAGAATAGGAATACCTTCAAGCTTCTGAAAACCAGTATAAAAATGATCAGTTATTCTTTCAGTTAATATACTGATATACTGTGTAGTTTTCTTTTCTTTTTTGGGGGAGGATGGGGTCCGGTCGTGGAGCCTGAACTCTGGGCCTGCGTGCTGTCCCTCAGCTCTTCAACTCAAGGCTAGCACTCTACCACTTGAGCCATAACACCACGTCTGGCTTTTTTTCTGTTTATGTGGTGCTGAGGAATCGAACCCAGGGCCTCATGCATGCAAGGCAAGCGCTCTACCACTGAGCCGCCCTCCCAGCCCCTGTTTTCAGATTATTTGTTAACGATTCTAATGATCAATGTGTAGATGCTGTTATTTACCTTACAGTTGTATGCTATTAAGTATCTATAATGGCATATATATTTTATATAGATAGTGGTGATTGTAAAAATGCTTAAATGGAAGTACTTTTAATGAGATATTAGTTATGGATAATATAGAAAAGTTACTTGCAGAGTCTACTTGTACTCCTTGAATATCAGGGGTGTTCCTTTCTCCCTTTCCATTTCTCTTCTCCTTTTACCCTGCTTTATTAAATAAACCTTTGCTAGTCTTCAGATGAAAGTAAAATGAAGGCTAGGAATGTGGCTTAGTGGCAGAGTGCTTGCCTTGCATGCATGAAGCCCTGGGTTGCATTCCTCAGTACCACATAAACAGAAATGGTACTGAGGCTCAAGTGGTAGAGTGCTAGCCTTCAGCTAATGAAGCTCAGGGACAGTCCCTGAGTTCAAGCCCCAGGACTGAGGGGGGGGGGAAAAAAAGAAAGTAAAGGGAAAGGAAAGTTACTTTAGATTCCTTTCTTGAATTGTAAGATATGATCATAAGGATTCTTGGGTTTCAGAAAAGCCATTAAGAGAATGGAAGTGCAGCTCAGTGATAGTGTGGAGGCTTACTACATACAGGGCCCTGGGTGAGAGCACCACACGTGCATCACAAAGGAAAGAAAAAGAATAACAGTAACTCGATATTGTCAACTTTGTGAGAAAGCTATTGATTTGAAGCTGTGAAATTTAGTTTTTAAAAAAAAAAACACAGCCAAGTGAATTATGTTGCTAAGGCACTTCATTTACTTTCATTCCATCCATTCATCTAGCCAGCCTACCTGTTCTGGTCTCTAATTTGGTAGATGGATAGAGGCAGCTTTCCTTATTGCCTCACTTCTCAGCATGTTTTTGGCAATATTCTTCTTTTCTGTTTTTTTTTTATTTGTTGTTGTTCGTTTTTTTTTGTGGTGGTGGGGGATTGTACTCCAGGCCTCATGCTTGCTTAGGTAGATGCAATACCACTTCTAGCTCTAGGAGTCTCATTCTTACAGAACTAGGGTCTTCTGTTATTTCTGATATCCTTTAATAGGTTGGTTTTGGTGATCTGGTCCATGAGGTAATTTATTGAGGTAATTTATAATCTGTATAAAACGTCTATGAAATTTGAGTGTTTTTTTTGGGTCCAGTCGTGGGGCCTGAACTCTGGGCCTGGGCGCTGTCCCTCAGCTCTTCAGCTCAAGGCTAGCGCTCTACCATTTGAGCCACAGTGCCACTTCCGGCTTTTTTTTTTCCTTTTTGCTTATGTAGTGCTGAGGAATCGAACCCAGGGCCTCAGGCATGCAAGGCAAGCGCTCTACCAACTGAGTCACCTTCCCAGCCAATTTGAGTAATTTTGAGTTGAGTGCTTCTTTCTTATTAAGATTAATTGATTACACTGAGATAAAATGCAAGAAACTTTGCTGATTAGTATTTTTTTTTTTTTTTTTTTGGGTCTGGTCGTGGGGCCTGGACGCTGTCCCTCAGCTCTTCAACTCAAGGCTAGTGCTCTACCACTTGAGCCACAGCACCACTTCCGGCTTTTCTCTTTTTGCTTATGTGGTGCTGAGGAATCCAGGTACTGAGGGCCTCATGCATGCAAGGCGAGCGCTCTACCACTGAGCCACCTTCCCAGCCCCTGATTAGTATTTTTGTTATGGCATAAAGATGAGGTTGGTGAGATAATGAACTTAATCATTAAGAGTGGAAGTCAAGGGGGGCAGGGAAGGGAAAAAGTGGGAGAGAATGAAGGAGGGGTTAATACTGTTCAAAAAGAAATGTACTCATTACCTGACCTATGTAACCATAACCCCCTCGATATATTAAATAAAAGGAGTGGGAGTCAAAAGGAAGGAAATCAAAACATGAAAGTGCTGGAGATTTTTTGTGTTTGGAGGAGGGTATGTCTTTTTTTTTTTTTTTTTTAATATTCCAAAGGTGGTGTCATTCTGGATGTCTTGCTTAGTTGTTGTGTGCTTTGTGTTCAGTATGACTGGCTCCTGAATTGCTGACTGATGTGGGAGTGCCTTTGAAGTAGCTATGTTCTAATCCTTTGGGCTTTCTACCTTTTCATACCTCCAGTGAGTATTCAGTGCTTGGGTGAAGCCACAGGTCATTTAAAACAAATCTTCTCACCTAAGGAGTAGCAATGAAGGTAATCTATTGATAGGTTGATTGTATTATTGTGATGATGATTATTTTTTGGTAGCGTTACACTTGCTAAGCAGGGGCTTTGCCACTTGAGCTGTGCTGTCAGCCCATTAATTAATTTTATTTATTGTGCTGATCCTGGGGCTTGAACTCAGGGCCTGGGCTGTCTTTGAGCTTTTCTATTCAAGACTAGTGCTCTACCATTTGAGCCACAGCTCCATGTCTGGCTTTTTTGGTGGTTAATTGGAGGTAAGTGTCTCACAGACCTTTCTGCCCAGGCTGGCAGATCTCAGCCTCCTGAGTAGCAAGGATTATAGGCATGAGTCACTGACACTCACACTTATTATTGTTCTTTGTCTGGGCATGCCTGAACTTTGATCCTCTTATTTCTGTTTGTCACTATAGTGGAAATGACCATTATGCCTAGCTTTTTCTGTTGAGATGGAGGTCTAGCCTTGACTGAGATCCCACATCTCTCTTTGTTACCACATCCTTGACAGCCTCTAATTGAATATAAAGTTAGAAAGAACCATTTTTTTGCTGCATGGAGGCACTGCTTGCCTGATGATTTTTATTTATTTATTTTTGCTGAATCAGCTGATGGAGGAAGCCAGAAATGATATGCATTTGATAATGTACTTTCCCTTCCAGAAGCCAGCTTGTAGCCCTTCCTGTGACAAGAAGTACATAATGGACTTGCTTTTTCCTCTGGTCAGAGTTGCAGGGAGTTATCCTACTTTTTTCCTTCCTCTCCTACTGCCCCACCACATCCCAATCTGCTGAGTAAGACAGTCTCTGGCATGTTTGATTTTCCAGTCCTGGCATCTAAGTAAAGCTAGTTAAGATAAGGAAGAAGCACTAGTTATTATCAGAAGGTAGAAATGGAAAATGCTTTAAAACAACTTACATGTTTTTGAAACCTTCATTTTTGTTACATATATTTTGTTTTATATATTATATATAATATGTTCACATATTATATAGTTACATACATTTATGTTTTAATCAGAATAATCCCCTCTGTTTGAAATTTGTGTGTGTGTGTGTGTGTGTGTGTGTGTGTGTGTGTGTGTGTATGTGTATGTGTGTGTGTGTGTCAGTTGTGGTACCTGAACTCTGGGCCTGGGCACTGTCCTTTAGCTCTTCAGCTCAAGGCTAGTATCTACCACTTGAGCCACAGCACCACTTCTGGCTTTTTCTGCTTATGTGGTGCTGAGGAAGCGAACCCAGGGCCTCATGCATGTGAGGCAAGCACTCTACCACTGAGCCACCTTCCCAGCCCCTTGAAATTCTTAAAAGTGTAATATCAACCTGACGCCAGTGGCGCATGCCTGTAATCTTAGTTAATCAGGAGACAGAGACCTAGGGATTATAGTTCAAAACCAGGGCAGCCTGCAGACAAATCCAAGATATTCTTTATTTCCAATTAACTATCCCTACTTGAGCTATGACTCAAGTGGTAATATGTTAGCCTTGAGCAAAAAAAATTTACTCAGGACAGTACCCAGGCCCTGAGTTCGAGCAACAGAACTGGCATACACACACACAAAAAAGGTGTAACATTACTTACTTGGAAGAAAAAGTTTATAGTAAACTACCTCATCTAGAAACCACAGGACTTAAATTTTTATCACAGCTTGTCTTTTTAAAAATTCATGGTCATAAATGAAAGCATAAATCCTCCTTGTATTGACTTTAACTAACAGTATGTACAATTAATAGTTAGCTTCTTAGGGTTCCTGTTTAGTGAGGTGGAGCTGATTTCATTTTGGGAAGGGCATATAGCTTAATGCCAGTATGAGATGTACAACTGTTAAAAGTTGTTTTAAATTTCTGTATCCCAGCCAGACAGTTTATAGGCCAGATACCTCATATTTTATTTAACGTTGGGCCTGAACTCTGGGCCTGGGAGCTGTCCCTCAGCTCTTCAGCTCAAGGCTAGCGCTCTACCACTTGAGCCACAGCACCACTTCTGGCTTTTTTCTTTTTTTCTTATGTGGTGCTGAGGAATCGAACTCAGGGGCTCAGGCATGCAAGGCAAGCGCTCTACCACTGAGCCACCTTCCCAGCCCCTAAGATACCTCATATTTTATTTTATTATTATTTTTTTTTTTTTTTTGGGTCCGGTCGTGGGGTCTGAACTCTGGGCCTGGGCGTTGTCCCTCAGCTCTTCAGCTCAAGGCTAGCGCTCTACCACTTGAGCCATAGCACCACTTCCGGCTTTTTTCTTTTTGCTTATGTGGTGCTGAGGAATCGAACCCAGGGCCTCGAGCATGCAAGGCAAGCGCTCTACCACTGAGCCACCTTCCCAGCCCCAGATACCTCATATTTTAAATGGGTTTCTTCTTGTTATATCAGTCCTCACATCACACTTAGTGCTTGATGAAACTAATTAGGACATTTATTCTCTCTCAACCCACTAACATCCTTTATTTTCTGATATATTTTAATACTACAAATTTTTCATCTAGTTTAAGATTTATCTTTTAGCTTACTACCTTCTGAAGTCATAAGGTTAGTATTGAAGGTAATTAATGTCTTATCAAGTTCCCTAGTGTACCTTTGATTAAACTTGTGCTTTTAAGGACTGGGGAGTAGCTTTGTAAGAAAATACTTCTTTGCATGGATAAGGCCCCAGGTTTGATCCCAGCACTCCAAAATAGAGGGTAGGACAGGGTACTATTTCTGTGCTAAGCAGATGATGTATGGAAGTCATTATATAGGTGGAAACAGATTAAAGAATAAATTGGTTTTATAAGTGGTTAACAGGTCAAAAGCATAGACTGTTCAACATTCTGCTCTCATCTCTTTGTAAAACTCAAACATCCTTTCTTTTTTTTTTATGCATTTTAAAGCCTAACTACCATTCTGATGGTATGCTGAATGTATTTGCTTCATTCATTGGACATTAATTTCTTTTATCTTTTCAGTTGTTCTTATTGGAGATTCTGGTGTTGGAAAGAGTAACCTCTTGTCTCGATTTACTCGAAATGAGTTTAATCTGGAAAGCAAGAGCACCATTGGAGTAGAGTTTGCAACAAGAAGCATCCAAGTTGATGGGAAAACAATAAAGGCACAGATATGGGACACGGCAGGGCAAGAGCGATACCGAGCTATAACATCAGCGTAAGTCTTGTGTTTTTCTTTTTTAAAGGTTTTGATAGTCTTGCGCTGTCATGCAGGCTGGCTTCAAATGATGTAGCCCATGCTAGCCTCTAACTTGTGATCTTCATGCCTTAGCTTTCCAAGTGTTGGGGTTATAGGTACGTATAGTTGTGCCCACCTTAAATTTGCAAGTTTTGTGAAGTAAGGTGCTTATCAGATTACTTAATTACTTAAGGGTTACTTAAGACAAGCACTTTGATACCATCGCTACAATCTGATAACTAAGTGTCTAATGGACAGGTGTTCATACAGTGTGGCTATGCAGAGGGAAGAGTCATATTCTGGCCTCAATAGAGGTTTCATCCTGCTCAGAACAGTGCTTATTTAAAAGGGGGAAATTGCTTCTTTTTAGAATTTTTCATTGAATATTTTTGTAGAGGCTGACTAAGAATGGTAGACTGTGGTGGCAAAACTGCTTATAAAGGGGACTACTGTACCATTTAAAAAATGTTTTTCTTTTGAAGAATTCTAGTATTAGGGTTTTTTTTTGTGGGGGGGGGGGTCAGTCATGGGGCTTGAACTCAGGTTTGGGCAGTCCTTGAGCTCTTTTGCTCAAGGCTAGTGCTCTACTACTTCGAGCCATAGCTCCACTTCGGCTTTTTAGTAGTTAATTGGAGATGAAAGTCTCATGGACTTTCCTGCCCCAACTGGCTTTGAACCATGATCCTCAGATTTCAGCCTCCTGAGTAGCTAGGATTACAAGTGTGAGCTATTAACACCAGCTAGGAATTCTTTTTTTTTTTTTTTTTTGGGGGGGGGGGGGAGGGGTCCAGTGGTGGGGCCTGAACTCTGGGCCCGGGTGCTGTCACTCAGCTCTTCAGCGCAAGGCTAGCGTTCTACCACTTGAGCCACAGCGCCACTTCCGGCTTTTTTCTTTTTGCTTATGTGATGCTGAGGAATCGAACCCAGGGCCTCAGGCATGCAAGGCAAGCGCTCTACCACTGAGCCAACTTCCCAGCCTCTATAAGCATGTTTTTTAAAAATACATGATCCAAGTCTTGATTTCTTCCTGGTGTTTGTGCCTATCTCATCATGGTTGTTTTCTGATAGCTACTGTGTTTTTGTTTTCAGATACTATCGTGGAGCTGTAGGTGCCTTACTGGTCTATGACATTGCTAAGCATCTCACATATGAAAATGTGGAGCGATGGCTGAAAGAACTGAGAGATCACGCTGATAGTAACATTGTCATTATGCTTGTGGGCAATAAGAGTGATCTACGTCATCTCAGGGCAGTTCCAACAGATGAAGCAAGAGCTTTTGCCGGTCAGTAACTGGAGTTCCATAACAATACAGTGATTCTATGTATCTTACTATGTCTTAATGGCTTTGATACACCAGTGAGGGTATTCTTAATCTGTTCAAGTGTAAGTAGAATAGTGCCTTTACTATCCTAGAAGTTGAAGATTTCGTAGGTTATCTACTTTGGGAGGAAGGGGAGATAAGGAACGGAGTCAAGTCTTAACTGTATATCTCAGTTTTATCTGGATTCGCTGTGTAGCCCAGGCTTCTTTCCAGCTTATGACCCTCTTTTCTCAGCCTCCCATGTGCTGGGATTACAGATGTGCACCACTGTGACTGACAGTTTTATCTCTCTCATGTGGTCTTGAGTGTATCACATTCCCTGCTTTAAAACTTGGCAAGAAGCAGGGCACAGTGGCTCATGCCTGTAATCTTAGCTACTCAGGCTAAGATCTGAAAATTATAGTTTAGAGCTAGCCTGGGCAGCAAAAGTCTGAAATTTTGATCTCCAATTTGCTACCCAAAAAGCCAGAAATGGAGCTGTGGCTCAAGTAGTAGAGCACTAGCACAAAAAAGCTCACAGACAGCACCCAGGCTCAGAATTTGAACCCCAGAACCGGCACAAAAACAAAGAAACTTTGAAAGAGATGGGGAAATAGCTCAGTGAGAGGAGAACCTGCTTTGCTTTGGGTAAAACTGACTTCTTGCTGGATACAGATCTTTAGCTGGGGATATAGCTCAGTGATAGAGTGTTCGCTAGCTTGTGCAAGGTACTGGGGCTCAGCTCCAGCAAACCTGCCCCCTCCCCCCTCCCCCCCCACTACAAGATTTGACAAGACTAAAGTTTTTGTGTCTTCCCACAGAAAAGAATGGTTTATCATTCATTGAGACATCTGCTCTAGACTCTACAAATGTAGAAGCTGCTTTTCAGACAATTCTAACAGGTAAGACTTAGAGGTTTAGATTATTATAACAGTGGGAATTGAGGAACGGGAAGTTTTAGGAAATAAAATTACTTAGGAGACTATGTCCTCTGAGAATGACTTAAAGCTACAATAATAAGAGTAGTTTAGAGTGTAAAATTAGATACAACCTTTGTGCTTTAGTCATTCTAATTCACCTGACACAGTGGGAAAGAGTCTTTGAAAATAGTTTGCTTGCTTACATTTAGTCCCACATGTATTCCCTACTTCATTGTCAGAGACACAAGTTACTTCTTATTTTTCTAATGTGCTTTTGGGATCTCAGCTATAGAAAGATTTAAATGTCCTTCTGAAATTAAATAAGTAAAAACTAGCAAATAAATACTTTAAAATATTAAAGAAAACAAAAAATGAATTTCTCCTATGATATATTATAGAAAAGGCAAAGTGTTCCATATAGATAGAAACCTTGAGAAAAAAAAAAAAGAAACCTTGTGATCGCACACCAAAAGGTTCTAATCATTAATGAGAAGGGGTCAAAGGTTATGCTGTTGTAGAATGTGTGTAACTAGGTCAGTCTTCTGGATAAGAGCACGCTTTCTTTGTTCTGACCCATATTTACCGTTACTTTATTGAAATGACCAAATTATTAGTAAACTTAAGTCGTTCTATTTTTTGTGATATTGGGGCTAATATTCAGGACCTTGAGCTTGCAAGGCGTGTGTGCTGCCATTTGAACCACCACAATTCCAGTCCCAAAAAGTACTTTGATACATTGTTTTTACACATATCTAAATGTATGCATTACTTTTAAGCACTTTCCAGGTAGAATATAGTCAACATAATTGAAAATTCTGTATGTAGAATTGTTGGTTCTTCCAAGTATAATTAAATGTATTTCAATTTAGTTTTTGTATGTAGCACTAGTGAATAGATTTGTTTTTAAACTTAATTCTTATTTTACTGTGAAAACATTGCCAGGCACTGTTGTAATCCTAGTTTCTCAGGAGGCTAAGACTTAGAGGATTAAGGTTAAACCAGCTCAGTCTCCCATCTGCAGTCAACCAGCAAAATGCTGGATTGGAGGTGTGACTCAAGTAGTAGAACACCAAGCAAGCAAGCCAAGTGAGCAAGCTAGGCCCTGAGTTTAAGTTAGTCCCTGATATGAGACAGGAGACTCAGGAGTAAAGCCTAGGAATTAAGCTTGGCCTGGGTTCTAGTCCTACCTGTATACATTACTTATTCTTTTGAGGTCTCACTTTCCTTATTCAAATATATTTTGGGAGTTGTTATTTCCACTTTGGGAGAGGGCTTATGTGTTGAGATATGATTTGATGAAAATATTATGTTCCTTCTTAAAGATTTTTTTTTGTCTCAAATCCACTGAAAAGAATGACCTAACACTGAGAACCTCCAAAACTCCAAACATATTTATGAATTAGTGGCTATAAAGTCCTTAACTCTCCCTACACAGTTTGGATATTAGTGGCTAAATTATAGTTAAAGCATAAACAAAACCTTGTTAGAACTATTGCATACCTATTTTATTACGTAGACTGATGCTCTACCACTTGAGCCACAGCTCCACTTCTGGTTTTTTCATAGTTGATCAGAGGTAAGAGTCTCATGGACTTTTCTGTTGGGGCTGGGCTGACTTCAAATCCCAATCCTCAGATCTCAACCTCTGAGTAACTAGGATTATAGGCTAGAGGCAATAGCAGCCAGCTAAAATTGTTTTCTGTTATCAGAACAGTAACTAAAAGAACTAGAGTTTTTCAAATGAAGAGTTTTTGGAACACAGTAACTTTTCTTTAGAAATCTTTTTTCTATGGAGTTTCATTGTGCATTGTTTCAAGCAAGGCAGATTTGATAAACCATGCAGTGTTTCTGCAAGTCTTACTGTTTTTTCTTTGTAACCCCTAATGTGGATTTGGTTGAGTCAATGTGTGGAGTAGTAAATTGAGATCCAGGAATTCTAGGGGTTTACTTTCTTTAAAAAAATATTTTTATTGTTATTATTAAGGTGTTGTACAGAGGGGTACTGTTTCATAAGTCAGGAAATGAGCACTTTTCTTTTGGTGCAATGTTACCCTTCACTCTCCCCCAGTTTTTCCCTCCTGTCCATGCCTACAAGTGGTATCATTTCTAGGGTTTTACTTTTTTTTTAAGTTTTATTATTATTTTTTTGCTGGTCCTGTGGCTTGAACTTTGGGCCTGGGCACTGTCCCTAGTCTTCACAGCACCACTTCTGGCTTTTTCTGAATAGTTTATTGGAGATAGGGAGTCTCATGGACTTTGTTTTCCCCGGCTGGCTTCAAACTGGGATTATAGGCATGAGCCTCTGGCACCAGCTGGGTTTTTTTCCGTTTTATTTTGCCTCAACTCTCTGTGTAACTAAAGTCGCTGAACTCCCCAGGTCTTCACACCCACAGTGCTATACAACAGTTACATTACAGTATAGGTCTGTGAGTGGTTGAAGGCTTCTGAAAGCTGCTTGAAGAAAACTTTTTTTTGTCAGTTGTGGGGCTTGAACTCAGGGCTTGGGAGCTGCTATCCCTGAGCTCTTTTGCTCAAGGCTAGTGCTCTATCACTTTAAGCCACAGCCCCACTTCCGGTTTTTGAACGTTTTATTGGAGATTAAAAAAAAAAAAGAGAGAGAGTCTCTCAGGGACTTTTCTACAGAGGCTGGCTTCGAACCTCGATCCTAGATCTCAGCCTCCTGAGTTGTAGGATTACAGGCGTGCGTCATGGGCCCACCTGAAAAAAAAACTGAGGCAAGCATTGTTGATGCATGCCTGTAATCCTTGAACTTGGGTGGCAGAGGAAGGATGCAGAGCTTTATGCTATCTTGGGTAGAGACTATAAGACACTTGTTTCATAAACAAAAGCAAAAGGGCTGGCTGGGTATAGCTGGAGAAATAGAGCTTTTGCTCTAGTGATTGATCACCAACACTATAAAACTAACTAAAAAAAGATAGATAGATAGACAGACAGACAGACAGACAGACAGACGTGGAACAGAAAAAGGGAAGGAAGAATGGTGGAAGAAAGAAACTTGGAATGTGGCTCATGCCTATTATTTTAGGACTCAAGAGGCAAAAAGGAAGATAGCAGGTCCAAGACCAGTCTAGGTTGTATAGCATGAGCCCATCTCAAGGCAAAACAAAACACCAAAACACACCCCACCCCCCCCAAAAAAAAAAAAAAAGGAGGGAAAGGGGAATATTTTAGGAAGTCCTCAGTGTTGGATTTTTTTTTTTTTTTTAATCGTGATAATAGGGGTTTGAACTCAGGGCCTCATACTTGCTAGGCTACCACAATACTTCTGAGCCATGCCTGAGCTTCACTCTGCCTTTCTTTTTACAGTCTTGGTGGGGTCACACGTTTGTGTCTCTATGACAAGCCTTCCTTCTGTTCAGTCTTAAAGGTTTTTCTGCCCGTGCTGGCCTCAGACCACAGTCCTCCCAGTCACAGCCTCCCAAATCACTGTTGTGCCATAGTACCCAGTTACGGGTTGAGAAGAAGTTGTATGAATTTTCTGTCCAAGCTGTCCTCAAACTGTGATCCTCCTGTTCTCACCCCCAAAATAACGAGGATTACAGATGTGAGCCTCTAGCACCCAGTCATTGTTGGGATTATATTTAATGTTCCACCAAATCTTCTCGCTCTATCATATTTATTTTGATCAAATTTCTAGCCCATTTATTATGATACTACGATAAAGTCAAATCCCTAGTTAACTATGGTGTATTGTTTTAGCAACAAACTTTTGTTCATTCAAACATAAACTCTAAACAGCAGTTATACATGTTTAAGTTTGAGCTTTTCTGTCCTTGAAGATTAGTTTCTGCTTACTGGTTTTTTTTTTTTTTAAATTTTTATGTGTTTTTTATTGTAAAAATACTATACAGAGGGGTTTCAGTTACATGAATAAGGTAATGAGTACATTTCCTATGGAGCATTGTTAGCTCCTCCTTTTTATCCCCTACCATCCCTTCCCTCCCTCCTGTTGATTGAAAGCAAAGGTTTTTAGTGACAACTTTGCTTATTTTATTCAATGTCGCTTGTGCTTCCTTCATAAATTCCAATGTATGGCAGCACACTTCTGTGTTGTTTTTTTTTTTTTTTTGGGTCCGGTTGTGGGGCCTGAACTCTGGGCCTGGGCACTGTCCCTCAGCTCTTCAGCTCAAGGTTAGCACTCTACCACTTGAGCCACAGCGCCACTTCTGGCTTTTTTCTTTTTGCTGATATGGTGCTGAGGAATCGAACCCAGGGTCTCATGCATGCAAGGCCACCTTCCCAGCCCCCACTTCTGTGTTGTTGTGCAGATGTTAGGATGTTTTCTCTAAACATTTCTTCCTCTAATATGCCAGTGTGTGAGTACTAATGCATAGAAAAGACAGGAAAAGGCTTAATTCCAGGGAGTTAATTCTACCTTAAATTTTAACAGTATTAGGGGAACATTTACATTGTGTTTTGATGTTGCTAGAAGAAAACACAACCATTTAATTTTTAAAAATTATTTATTTTTCCCAATCCTGGGACTTGAACTCTGGGCCTGGGCACTGTCCCAGAGCTGCTTTTGCCAAAGGCTAGTGCTCTACCACTTGAACCACAGCCCCACTTCTGCCCTTTTCTGGTGGTTAATTGGCGATAAGAGTCTCATTGATTTTCCTGCTCGGGCTGGCTTGGAACCATGATCCTCAGTTCTCAGCCTCTTTAGTAGCTAGGATTACATGTGTGAGTCACCTGGTGCCCAGCCCCATTTAATTTTTAATATGCAAAATTATTTAGTATTGGAAGATTTATGTTATTTAATGTAATTTTATTTATTTTTTGTTGGTTGTGGGGCTTAAACTCTAGAGACCGAGTGCTGTCCCTGAGCTCTTTTGCTCAAGGCTAGCTCTGCCACTTTGAGCCACAGTGCCACTTCCAATTTTCTGGTTGCTAATTGGAGATAATACTCTCATGGACTTTCCTGTCTGGGCTGGTTTTGAACCTGGATCCTCAGATCTCAGCCT